AAGAACCAAGATGGAACAAACCGTTTTATGAGTGCTATGTTTCTTTATCAGCAGTAATAACATAGTCCACGTTTGCTTTCCATCCACTATTTTACCAACGGGAAGGACAAATTATTATGTTGATTTTAAATTGTTGTGTCTATAATGTGCGTCTTTTTTATTTACATAAAATTGTTAATACATAACGGATGATATGTTGAATAAAATGTAAGTCACAAATCAACTCCAGGTTTTTTAACCCATCACAAAAATAATCAGCTCGTCAGGAGAGGTACAGTCATCCGCGACGATGGACACCTCAATGCTGTTTACCACAGTTTACCACTAATTACATTGATTTTGGGCACAAGCGCAAAAACAATCCAACGGTAGACCACGACAGTGATGGGTGGATACTTTACGGCTTTCATCCCTCGTGGCGCCGGGGGGGAGTAGGTCGGTAGTTTGGCAAGGAGTATCGGCTGTCCCGGCAGCCAGGGAGTAGCGTCGGCCCGAGGGGTAACGCCAGAATACTCTCGGATTTTGAAAGGGATGTCTCTGTTGACTCGTTACCACCATTTCTCCTGCTCAGAAATTAAACGCTTGTATATTTTCCCCGATAAAATACAAGCACTGACTGCCTCCAGTACATACGAAACACTCACTTTTCATCATTTGGCTGTTTTTGACTGGCTACTTACAAGTGAAATTTGTGATACGACCAGCAACATGGCCCTTTCTAGGGCTAAATGCTACCTTCGTTTCCACGCCATCACAAACATAACTAAATGCTTGCGGTGAGTGAATGCCGATACTCCGACACTGAAGGCCCCTCGTCGGCCGCCGCCGCTAGATGGCGTCACTGCCTGCGTTCGTTGCGCGCGCCGCTGGTGGAGGGGGAAGGGAGATACTCCCCCAACACTGCTGCGCCCAACGCGTCTCGAACCCGAGCCGTATGTAGTGCCTCCAACCACGCCGCCTCCTTCTCGACTGGGAGTCGTGGCGTGCTCCTGTAATCCAGCTACTTGGAGGTCGGAAGTCGAGGATGGTTTGAGGCTGGGAGTCCTGCTGCGCAGTGAGTCATGTTGACTGGGCGTCCGCACGAAGCTCGTCGTCAATATGGATACCTTGGAGGAGTCCGAGGTAGCCAGGTTGGTTAAGGAGGGGCGGACCGGGCCAGGGGGGTAACCCAGCAGCCAAAAGTCCCCGCGGTGTGCAGTCGTGGGATCGCGCCCGGGAGTGGGAGCTGCGTGGCAGCCCGGCCAATAAAGTCAGACCGACTTCCCTTTTGCATATTCGAGCAATGATTTTCTTCTTATACGCAAGCTGTCACCTGAAAACACTTAATAGGCTAGTTATTTTAGAGTGTCAACTGTAATCTAATTTTGGAAACTAAAGCCTTCAATCGGAATTTATTCTCAACTAGATTTGAACAGAAATTGATTCAAAAACAAAAATTGCTGGAAATGATTTGGATGAGTAGCAACCCATTTCTTCATAGACAGGTCCGCCTCGCTCATTTACCTGAGTTTGGGGGGGGGGGGGGTAGAGGAGAGTGGGGTCCTATGGCGAACCTATTTTCAAACCCTGATGGACTGGTGATCAGCACATAATCCCCGGATGCATCTGAACTAAAACAATGGGGCCCGGAGCCCCCCAAACCTAAGGGACAGCTTGTGTACTGACTGATTGCCCCTGGCGCCCTCAGCCACAACTCGTCGCAGTAACGATTCCGAATGACAACGCCTGCGGCGCATCGGATAGGCCTTCCCGCCAAATGTCTGTGTGGAGATAGTGGCCTACCCTCAGCGCCTGAGTGGACGCATATACCATACCCTGCAACGAGACTACTACGGGCAACAGTGTTGTTTGCTGCGTAAAGAGTTCGTTTCGCTTGTGGTTGTTTCGACTTCGCTGAGGTAAGACACTGCTGTTGTTATTTTATTTTTGTTCGGGTTCGTCTTTGCAAATTATAGATTTGTCAATATAGTGTCATAGAGACACCTCTATCTATGCGTTGACGCGGAAGAACGCAAACGTGATAAGTCTCATCCACAAACTTATCTACATAACCTCATTTTGAACTTACTACCTTGTGCCAAACTTTTTTTGACATTTCTCTATGGCATTATTAAATGGATGTCTAAAATTTCTTCTGTTCCACTTTTATCGGGCTGTTGGTATTTGGTGTCTAGCCAAAGATGTTGAGTCTGATTCAGATTCAATATCAGATTCTTTTATCCAATCAAATGAACAGGGAGAACAAACATAGGGTATGAAATTTCAAGCAAAAAGACAGAAGTTACAAAATTACAGAATTAGCATAGATAACATCATAAACAAGTAAGCCGCAGCACTAATCTAGAGAGAATGAAAACTCCCTAAAAAGAGTGCTCAAAATGATACCATTAAATAACCTGAAAAAAAAAGTTCATTGCTTTAATTAAGACCAGCGTCTTCGCTCTACAATCGTATTACTATCATATCTGTAGGTGTTATGTGTTTCTAGATGAAAGTACAAACAGTTCATAAAGGGTGACACTGCACTGAGATCAATACTCGTCCTTCCTACCACCAAGAAGGTGAAGTGGGCTGGTAAAGAACGAGTAATGAAAGCCTCAAATGGATTCAAATGAAAAATTTATTGATATTTTTCCGAAAGTTTTTATGGCTCTCCTCATGATAGAGTGCAGAGGTACGGAAAAAAATAATTATACTTTATTGTGACGCGCGAAATTCGAGGGGGTTGGGGTTTACCTTAGTTGGTCGATTCCGCCCCTGGTTTAGGGGTCGCGGACGCGTGGCTTCCTTTTAATTTCAAACGCGCGTCACTTTTCTTTCTTTGCCGCCTTGCCGCCTGAGCGCCAGCTCAGGTGCGGCCGGTCTAGCAGACGATAGGGTCAGCTGACCGGCCGGGCCAATGGGTGCGAGCGAGAGCGAGTGAGGCGAGCGGGGGACAGCGGCCGGACGCTGGAGCCCGGTCACTCAGCGAGCTGCAGCGGCGAGAGAGGGTCTGCCTCGGCGGCCCGACCCAAGCACCTGCTATGGTTTTATTTTACTTCCGTGCGCTACCCGCACATAGTGCTTGGTGAGTGGGAATCGCTTTTCTGGGGTAACTAAATAGTGAGACATCCGTGTGCTAATGTAGTCGTTTCCTTGCAGGGTTTAAGTTTCCCGTCTTTTGGACGGTGTATGTCCGCCGTGATGGCGTGTTTCGCTGGGTCAAGATGTAGAACTAGATTCTCATTCTCACCGGCGGTCCGCCTCGTGAAGTCACCAGCAGACTGACTTTGTCAATCTTTGCCGCCCGCCCCGCCGGGGCCGGGTCGGCTGTTTTTGTTGTCAAGCTCTCTTCTCCATCGCCGCTTCGCTAAACACGTGTAAGTGTTTTGTGCCTCTTTAGTGTTTACTGTCTGACGACATTTTCTATCTTTTTGGTCCGCGGCGATTACGTTTGATTTGTTGACTTTTGCGCTGCTCTGATTAGTGAGTGTGGGAGGACAGGGCGTTAGCGTTAGCGAGGTCCTTGCTCGTCGTAGACTGCGGCGGGCCCGGCTGGCCCCTGTTCCCTCCCCACTGCACTTGAGCCTTTTGTCCTTTAGGGATTTGTTGCGCTTTTGAGTTGTTGTTTCGTATCGTCCGCGGACCAGTGGGGTTGCATACCCTCCCGGCGTAATCTGAGATCAATGGGTTGCCTATCGATCAGGCGTGTATTTGTGGAGTCTAACTTATTGTATCGATTCTTTTGCTATGGTGCTGATATGGATAGCGGCTGTAATGCGCTTTTGTGCCCTAGTCTTTTGTGTCGAATAATGCTAGTTGTCCTTTATACTTGTGTATTTATGTACTTTGAATTACCCATTTAGACCAGCAGCATGTTTTCGCCTTTTGTATGTGTTATTACTTTACTTGCCTAAATAAAATCTGTGCTACATCCTACGTGATGCAATTTGGAGAGGTTCTACCTCTGGCGCCCTATAAAATAAATCCAAATACTCACGCCACTCTACCATTTCGGGATAACTGAGCTAGTTGGCTGTTACTAGTAGCCTGGCTACCACTGTGACGAGTTTGCACGTTACATTATTAGTAGTGTGAGGGTGTTTTTAGAAGAGTGGCAGTTTGCTCATTTTCTGCCCTTAGGGAATAACTGCTATTATCTCAGATACAGCCCAAAATATTTTAGTTTTCGAAGTGGGATTCTAATTTTTTGTTCACGCTTAGTGAGTTAGCGGAAAGAAATTTTGAAGCTTCTGAGATCCCCTGTGTCTTTAACCTTTCTACTGGAAGAAACGAGGGCTAAAAATGTTGATATGTTTTATTTTATTTATTTTCATGAAATCTTAGAAAAGTCAATTATAACGTGTTTAGGATCATTTTTTTTATCTCTTAGTTGATTTTCCACTTTTATCTCTGCTCAATGAGGCAGAAGTATTCTTATCCATGCCAACTGAATGCTCTTTTTCTCTCTTTAGTTCTGCAATGTATGTTAAAAATGGAAAGTAAATAATAGGGAAACAGAGTTAACAGTGCATGAATATTTATGATATTTCACCTGTGAATATTTACATTGAGTTGACATTATCTACCCTAGGCAATGCTTTTGAAGCATGGCACATTATTGTTAGGCAGCTACCTGAAACTGTTGGGAGTCCAGAGAGAGAGGGGTTGGTGTCATTGTGATATATGTAGACCAAAATTCTGTTTTTACCCTGTTGCAGGAAGACCGCCCAATAGTTGCATCTGTGCTAAACATCAGCTAAACAACCGTTAGCTATCACCCAATACATGCTGAGTTAGTGTCACAGCATGATCACAGGAATGCTTCTGGTAAGTTTATTTGACTTTTTATGTAACATCTACATAAATATCAATATGGTAGAGAGAAGTTTGGTAAAACTTTATTTAGGTAAATACCTTTGGGTGGCCACCCAACCTGGAAGTCAGGGAAAAGTCAGGGGAAAATATTGGTCAGTGAAGTCAGGCAAAAGTCAGGGAAATTGAATGTTGGTCAGGGGAAATGACTGAATCTTGCCCCAAATTGTTGTTTTCAAACTTTCGGTAGCATTTTCAATTTTTTGGGAGGCAAAAAGTTCCACTTAAAATACATTTCAAAGTCAGGGAATTTGCGTAAAAAGTCAAGGAATTTGAAAACTCCGATTGCGTGGCCACCCTGGGATTTGTTTCTCTTTTGGGGGTTGTGGCCTAATACTTGATCCTTTAATATGTGGTCGTGTGTTAATTTTAGTGGACAGGAAGTAGAGGCAAATCATCAGAGTCTCAGAAGAAATGCTGCTATTTATTTCCACTTTCATATATTGATTGTGTATCAGGCTTTGAGTAAGCCGAGAGAATATGAAGATACCTCGGTCTAATTTATTTCAGAGTTAAGTTATTTGCATTGACCATTCAAGTTGTCGTTTCTAAATTGTTTTCTAAATTAAATTGTCATTTCTTTATTGCTTTTATGCTTACTCCATGTATGTAGTTGTGTGTTGATTTTAGTGGAGGGACATAGAGGCACATCAGAGTGTCACTTAGAGTAATGCTGTTATTTATTTTGTCTGAATGGTACAGTCTTAGTAGAGTAGGGAGGGTTGCTGGTTCTTGTCCAAAAGAATGTACCTGGACTTGATGCTGGCCACCTGTAACATAGAAAGTTCATTCGATGAGTTGGCGTCACTGTGATACCATATGGACCAGAAAACATTTGAGTTGAACTTTGATAATTTGAATTTAACTTCGATTTTTTTCTTTCTTTTTCAGGTATTCAGATTCGCTCCAAGTCACCAGCAGAAACAAGCCGGCTACTTGAGGAAGACTTTACTCTTATAATGTAAATGATTTAAAACAATACAGAATAAAAAATGACTACTACATTTTACTTGATTTCATACACCTAGTTAGCTCGAAGCTGTGGTAACTGTGGAGGTAGTAGCAGACTGCCACCACTACAGCAGTGACGTCACGGACGTCTCGGGAGTAGCTGTCCCGGAGCCTTGGAGGTAGCAGTAGGATTACCACTACTACTACCCCCACAGCCCCCGCAGCAGCGGTGGCAGCCCGCTACTACCTCCACAGCAGCCGCAGCCGAGAGGAGGGCAGGGGGAGGG